GTGGCTGGTGGGTTTGAACCACCAACCTTCTGGTTAGCAGTCTGAGGCCTTAGGCACTGTGCTACCACAGCTCCAAATGCTGTATAGATTAGTTGAATTTTCTGTGTTACAGGGGTTCCTTTTCAAAAGAGGTTCACTGTAATCATGACACAGACTTGCATGTAATGGAGGATGCTAGCTGAGACATGAAACTAATTTTAAGACATGGACCCAGATATTACTTGTCAACATTAAATTTTACTTGCATTAAAGAGGGCTTGTAACTCATATCAGCAGATGGCAAGTCCCTATCTCTTACAATAATTTACAGAAGGCAAATCAAAGAGGTGGAGTTTATCAGAACACTTCACATGGGGTTGCAACATTCATATGAATTAAAGTTCCCCATCGATCCTTTTGTCACCTTTCTTGACCTCCCCAATGGTCTCCCCCACCCAAATTCTGCTTCTTCCTCTCCACTGTTGACCACAATTATTGGATTTTTCTGGAGTAAGTTAAGCAACAAAAATAAGGTTGGTTTTTCTCAGATATTTGAGTCTCATTTGATGTGGCTTCCTGAAAAGCCACTCATAGAGCATCTGCCTGCAATGTCTGGGAGTACTAGACACTACTTGAGATGCCTCTGTTGAAAAAGTCTTATATTGAGGCTAGGTCAATTCATTCATAGTACTTTGGTCTTTTTAGAGAGTGTTACTGGCCTATGAGCAGGAGAGAAGACAGCTATCCACATGAGCACACATACATGGCCCTGTGCCAAGGTTAGAAAACACATTGGTTTCTGAAATATGCACACAGGCAGAAAAATTATTAAATACCTCATAGAAAGCCAGAGACAGACAATTGCTCTAAATTAGCTCTGAGAGGGGAGGGGAAAGGGCTGGATTCTCGTCACTTGGATTTTCTAGTCTGATAATGAGTAATCAGGGATGAGGCTACAATTTCAGGAACCCAGAAATAGGCTTGACATATTCAAATTCCATTTCTAAATCAAAGTAGACTAACAAGCTTGTTTTCTCATGAAAGATGCAGGTCCTTTCTGGAAGCAGCAGGCAGCTGGAAGGACCCTGGTGCTGGGTAGATGTAAACATGAAAAGATGAGAAATTTGGATGGAGAAAATTTTCAGTCAACTGGTGTCAAAGTTTTCTGGAATGGTCACAGTGCTCATGATAGAGATAGGCTCAGGGGACAGACAGAATTATAATGGAGAGTTTCCCTTGAAAGAGCTATCTATTCCTTCTGTCAAGCTACTATGCTACCAAAAATATGATTTTGGAAATGATCAATAGATTTGCAAAGAAAAGGAAATGATTATTAGGCCTGTTCATTGCTGGGAGATGTGGGGTAGGAAATTGGCTCTCTTTGGCTGACTAGTCATAAGATTCTCATTTCAGGTGGCCAGTCCTGCAACATAGGCAGCAGTTAACTGGCAGATATTCCTGTGTGTTGAAGGGTAGCTTGTGCCTGGGTCATTCTGCACCTGTGATTATTCTGGATTCCTTAGTTCCTTCATTCTAGCCAGCATTTAACATTATGAGGTAGGTATCATTAAGTCCCTTAGGGAGTCCTGCCAAGTCAAGTCCACATTCATTAACCTCTGTTGGACCCTGATACCTACTTTATAGCCCACTTGTATGGCAAGCATTCTCTAGAATGGAGAATGGTATGGCTAAGGCAAAGCACAGTATGGCTTAGGGCCACATTGAGTATCAAGGAATTACCCTGAGACTAGAACTTCATTAAATTCCTTGGAAGCATCATAGAGGAAATTATGGCTTAAAGAAACAAAGAAAGAAGGAAGGAGAATGGGGGACAGAGAGGGAGAAGGCGAAAGAGAAAGAAAACTATCATACCTCCCAGAGTCATCCCTGCTTCAAAGCATTTCCGGAGACGACAAGATGGACAATTTTTCCTTCTGAATTTATCGATGGTGCAATCATTTCTGCTGGCACACAGGTACTTCTGCTTACCTGGGAGAACAAATACAAGAGCAGACAGATTTGTTAATGTGTCTCCGGAGTCTATTTCCTTGAATATTTCTAGGCAGAAATGGCATGAAGATTTACCTTATGAGAGAATAGCCCTCAAACAATTTGACCACATGGAAATTATGAGAAGGGGTAGTTTAATTCAGGGAGCTCTGGTAGCATAGTGGCTAAGGCACTTGACTGCTAACCAGAAGGCTGGCGGTTCAAACCCACCAGCCACTCCTCGGAAGGAAGGTTGGGCAATCCTACTTCCGTAGTGATACTGCCTCGGAAACCCAAGGAGGGGTCGCTATGAGTCAGGGCTGACTCGACGGCACATAACAACAACAACAACAAGTTTAATTCAGTACTATACTGTTTGGTTTGCATAGGTGTTTTCAGCAGGGATGGATAGTTCATGTCCTGCTGATACCTCCATTATTAGGACTATTCACTGTTATGTTAAATAAGATGATCTACCTTTACTAAAAAATTGGAATACATCTGAGGAAATGATCAAGTGGCACAGTTGACTTGGACTCAGTCAACATTTCCTCCCACTGACACATGTAATCATATACAGTCATACTTGAACTAATAGATACTTATTTTACATAGGAACATTACAGGCCAAGCATTTATAAAAGAGAATTCCACACAATTACTAATCACTTTTAAATTGCTAGTGATCATACCCCCAATCCTGCAGATTATAAAAATCAAACATAGATAGAGTCTACTTTTTGTGAAATGAACATAGCAAGTGAAAAGGAAGTCCTCTGAAACCAGCAGAGGAAAAAGATCACTGTCATATGATGTCATATGTCATATGACAAGTCATCTGAGATTTGTCTCAGATGCATAGGAACAAACAACATAGACACAGAGATCCTCAGGATCATAGCTGCTCAGAGAAAGATACATATTTTGCTCAATTTTTGCTCTTTTGTTCCCAGTCCAGGCCTGGCACACATTAAGTATGTATGGTACTGTGAATTGCTTGGTATGGCCTTTTAGCCATGGTCTTTATGACTCCCACCAGATAATTTGATGGGACTATGCAAACATGAGGTACTTATGGTCCACCAAGGGGATTGGACAGCTTGCTAATAATGTAAATAAGGTCGACGGCACCTTTGTTGGGGTGGGACCATGCAAATTAGGTGTATCCCCTAACGTGGGAATCGGTCAGTTTTGCCATCTTGTTAGGCTTAAAATGAGCCATCCTATAGTGGCTAAGACACTTGCCTGCTAACCAGACGGCTGGCGGTTCAAACCCACCAGCCACTCCTCGGAAGGAAGGTTGGGCAATCCTACTTCTGTAGTGATACTGCCTCGGAAACCCAAGGAGGGGTCGCTGTGAGTCAGGGCTGACTTGACGGCACATAACAACAAACAACAGAGGTAGAAAGGGAGGATCTCACTACCATCAAGAAAGAAGAGCCAGGACTCAAGATCCCTGTGCCAAACATCCTTGATCTAGAAGACAGAGAAGTGTGACATGAGAGACAGTGAGAGATGGAGAGGGGAGTGGGGGGGAGCACAGGCAGCAGAACTAAGAAAGATGGGCATGAGACAGAGCTATGGAGTTTCCTTGAGGGTGTTCAGGTAGGTGGTTAGCTGACAGAATGGGGTGCCTTGCTGGGCCCTTATCAGCAGAGCTAAAAGAGCTTTGTTAACAATTGCTCAAGCAGGGCAGGGGCCAAGGTGCAGTGGGCCAAAAGGCTGAGGGCCAGAGAAAAGTGTACCTGTGGGCACTGCAGAGAAGAGGCTGTCCTGATGAACTGTGTCTTGAGTCATTTCTGATTCTAAATTATAACCTGTTACTTCCGTAATAAACCCCATAATCATGAGTATTGTCTGTGAGTTCTGGGTGGCAATTGCAACAAATTATTGAACCCAGCCATGGGAGGGACAGTTGAGTGTCAGAATCTGTAAAAAGTTTGGAAAATGTAGGCATATCTGACCACCACTTCATAGGTATCGGGATCGGCCCTGGGCTGTTGATATAGTTCTAGATCCTCCTCCTACTTTGTGAAATTAGAGGAAGTCAGATGCCACCCCCATGTCATTTTTACAGTAGGCTCTGAATAAACAATGACTAAATGGATGAATATACAAGTATAGCAGAAAAAGAGATATTACAACTAGCTTCTCTGAAACACACAGAACTTCTCATATTTAAGGCTCCGCCATAGTATGAAGGTGTGCATCCCCTCTCCCCAACTCTTTCTTTCTCCAATTCCCTGGTGTTTTATTCCACATTTACTGTTGTGTTTTCATTCACTGGATAGACAGGCATTTCAGGGAGGTTTCTTTTTTCAGGGCAGAATGTTCTGATGGGAATAAGAAAGAAAAATTGAAAAGTGACTGCTATTCGATACCAGAAAAATGAATAAATGAATTTTCAACTATAGCTCAGCTTTCCTCTCCCTCCTCTCAGCCTAAAATGTACCAGGTAGGCACAGAGACCACAAGTATTTGTAGTTTTTTTAATGTAGAAGATACAGTAGTAACTGGTTCAGCAAAACATTTCTATGGGCTACCACTAAGAACATGTTACTAGCATATTATAATAAAAGATTCTTTCTTCCTTTCCATTTTTTTCCTTCTTTCATTCCTATTGCTCTTTGTCAAAGAACTCCAAAACATTGGTACTTTTAAATAGTATCTCAGTACAATCTTTTCATTATAAGAATGAGTTCCTGGGGAATGTCTTACCTGAAGACATCCATGGAATCAGAGGCCCCTGAAGGAAGAAAATCACCATTTATTGGGTACCTACTGTGAGAGTGTTCTCGGAAGGAAGGTTGGGCAATCCTACTTCCGTAGTGATACTGCCTCGGAAACCCAAGGAGGGGTCGCTATGAGTCGGGGCCGACTCGACGGCACATAACAACAACAACAACAACAACTGTGAGAGTGTTAGGGATTTTACATTTCTACAAATCACCTTAGCTTTTTCTTTTTTCTCCCCCTCTATTATTACCTTCCTTGGAAGGAAGGTTGGGCATTCCTACTCCTGTAGTGATACTGCCTCGGAAACCCAAGGAGGGGTCGCTATGAGTCGGGGCCAACTCGATGGCAAACAACAACAACAACAACAACAACAACATTATTACCTTCACTTAACAGATGAGAAAAGAAGGCTTCTAGGCCAGTACTCTTTCAAGTGTACTACAAGATTGTGTTTGTATAAACAGAAATAATGTACTGATTGCTTTTTTCAGCTTCTTTGAGGTCCCTCTTCTTCCAGAGTAAATTACTATCTCCTGGACCCTAGTTTAAGGAGTCCTGGTGGCAAAGTGGTTATGCACTTGGCTGCTAACTGAAAGGTTGGAGGTACAAATTCACCAGCCCTTCGGCAGAAGAAAGATGTGGAAGTTTGTTTCCCTAAAGATTATAGCCTTGAAAACCCTATGAGGCAGTTCTATTCTGCCCTATAGGGTAGCTATGAGTCAGAGTGATTTGATGGCAATGGGGGCTCTAGTTTGCCAAAGAATGAATGCAAAGCCAAGGAATAAGGGTCCTAGAGAATTTTTATATTTCACTTTTAAAGAGAATCACTCCGTAAATAAAGGATGTTTCAGTGGAAAAAGCATGAAATGGAGTTTTTTTCAATTTAAAACTCAGATCATTTCCCTAGTTGTATTTCATACTTTTTCCAAGGGTGCCTCTTAGCAAGGGGTCCTAAAACACAGACATACATTAGGTTTTATCCAGAAATAAGTTTAAGCCTAGTACAATCAATGCCACTGCACAAAACTTCAACATTTACTGAGCATCTATTAAAGGAGCTCTGGTGGCGAAGTGGTTAAGGCTTTGGCTCCTAAACAGGGTGTGAGCAGTTCAAACACACCAGGTGCTCTGAGGGAGGAAGATGAGGTAATTTACTTCCGTAAAGATTTACAGCCTTGGAATCCCTATAGGGATTGCTATGAGTTGGAATTGACTCCATGGTAATGTGTTTGGTTTCTTTTCTGGAGCATCCATTATGTGGCAGGCACCATACTTGGTATTGAGGCTACAAAGGGAAATCTCTGCTGAACAAAATATTCAATCCCTTGACAAGAGAGAGAGCACTAGGCTGTAAGTCACAAGACCTGGATCCTTGTTCAGCCTTATCACTAATACACTATGTGACTTTGGACAAGTCCCCTTCCCTCTTTATTGGTAACATGAGTTCAATCAGACTGGAAAATCATTAAAGTCTTTACCAATCTTAGGGATCTTGGAAGATGTTTGGATTCCATGTGTAATAAACAGTCTTGTAGAGTCTTTCATATGAAAGGCTTAGTTCTACTGGAGAGCAAGAAATTAACCAATATAATGGTCTCTTCCCTTTACTCTATCCTTTCAGGGCAGTGGTTTACTGTAATATTGTCCATTATATCTGGAGTCATTTGGTCTCTTTGTTTTCTAAAGACATCCAAAACATCAACACAATTAATACAGTGTTAAAGGGGCACTTTATGTTGTAAGTCATATGCAATAAAATATTTATGTCATTGTACATATTCATGCATGTCTGAGTGCACATGTGTGTGTATGCATACACACACTGGGTTTCTGCATATGTATATTTGATCGTATAAAACATATAATACACCAAAACACATGAATATATACATATATACATGTGTGCCTTTGAAGCAGAATAATGGGTTTAAAGTTTTAAATGACACTTAATAGTGATGGAGGAGCTCTGGTGGCGCAGTGGTTAAGGCATTCAGCTGCTAACCAAAAGGTTGGCAGTTCGAACCCACCAACTGCTTCATGGGAGAAAAATTAGGAAGTCTGTTTCTGTAACGACTTACAGCCTTGGACACCTTATGTGGCAGTTCTACTCTGTCCTTAACAAAATGGTTGCTGTGACTCAGCATCGACTCTATGGCAGAGGGTTTCATTTGGTTTTAATAGTGACAGAAGGGATTGAGGTTTGCCAAAGATGGATATAGAAGGAATTTTTTTTTTTTTTCTGGAAGCCCT